CGCAATAGCGGATTTGATTCGCACCAAGCCGACGCTTGATAAGGCACGTCCAATCGCGCGGATTGCTAAGTCTTGGCTTCGCGCGCGACCCTTATTTTGGATTATAATTTATTTGGATGATATATTTCTTTCTTCTTGTCCGACTTGTCAGCTCATTAGACTAGACAGACAGATGTATTTAAAGTAACCCGTAAGTTTCCTCGTCGATGTGTCGATGAGTTTATATACAAGTTCCTACACGTGGCGTCCTCATATTTGTCACATGAAACGATAGAATAGAAATATCGGAATTTGCTCAAAACATGTCATGTAAAATGTGACTCGAAAATCGAAGAGTAGCTTTTAGCTAAATTGCTTCGTCAGTGTAACGAAAAAATTATATCGTTATACGATACAAGCATAACGATCAATTCAATACGATATGCTTTTCTCATAAAAGCAAAGTAATTAAAAGATTGTAAAGTTTCCCCACCATTACCGTTTGTTTACCTGGATAGACTCGTGGATAGAAATCATAAGAGTAAACTTAAAGAAAGGCGACGCAGCCGTTTTTTAATATTTCACAAAGACTTTAGCACGTAATTTGTTTGCTTACTTGTTTTAAACTGTGTGTTTTCCGCGCGGTCTTCTCGGGGGAAAAAATTACACTTAACGAGACACGTCTCGCTCGCGTACAATACGTCGTCCGTTCGTGCTCTGGGTTTTCTTGCGAGGTGGGAATGCACGGTGGAATACGTTTAATTAGGGCGGATTGTAACGGAAAGAACACGAACGACGGCGGACGTTGGCGAAAGGAAAATTGGACAGGTCTTTAACGAGATGCCGCGTGCACAGGCCACTACTGCTACTGCCGTCATCACTTAACACCTCCCTCTCTTTCCCTCTTTTTTTCGCAATATTCAGCGACTTGCCGTCGTTTCGGAGACGACACCTGGTCCCGAATAAATATCTCCCTATTTATACCGCGTTCGAGTTTCGGCCGACCGAGGTCTGAATTAATTTACATGCGCGAAATGTACGCGAACGTGGATTTACATCGAACAAAAGTATTTTTCTGCCCATCGTAATTTTAATTCCATTAAAATTAATGAATGCAAATAATTTTATACACATTAATTACGCGATGAGTAATTACGTTGAAATGAATTAACTAAAATTGTATCGAGGCACGTTCAACACGCGCTAGCAGGGACGAAAGAGTCGTCGTCGTCGTCGTCGTCGTCGTCGTCGTCGTCGTCGTCGTCGTCGTCGTCCTAGCGGGGGTCGAGGGTCGAGTCGTACTTCTTAATCGGTATCGGCGCGTTTTGTTCGATAACACGATAGACGGATCGCAGTTATTGGGATGCAAAACAGCGCGATCGTCGGTAGGGACTCGTACGTTGATGGCGACTCATAATCGAGCGCACCGAGAGAGATATCGGGCAATTGCCGATCAGACGGCCGGTTAATAGCGTGGAAACGGCGCACGTATGGGAAAAAGGAAGACCGGAAAATAGAAAAGAACGACGTAGGGCTCACGCAGCCGTTTAGCCGGAATTGAAGCGCGCCGGATATCGATAACCATCGGAGAGGATGATGAATTTCGTTGAACCGCGGGAGATACGCTTTATAATGGAGTTGCCAGCTGATTCGAATTACGTCGATCTGCGTGAGAATCGTTTCGGCGGACGTAATTCGAAGAAAAATGAGCAATTTGCCGCGGGTAGAGAGAGAGCGAGAGAAAGAGGAGGGGGAGGGGGGAGGGGGAGCAGAGTACTCACGACGAGAATGCTGTGTATGTGAAAACGCTTCCTCGCGCGGGAGGAATCGTCTCAGAGGAGGCTGATGGATATAAAATTGAAGAATAAGAGGCGAGACGAGTTAGGGAAACACGATACGTGAAAAGATTTCGCCCCGCACCCACCACAGCAGGTGTCCATTAACGCGCCCGTCAGTGAGTGTTGAAATTTAGCCCGTTCCAATTGCAGCATCAATCATCCTGTCGTCTCGTGTAAGCTGCAGCAAGCTTGCAGAGTTGGCGATGCATTGCGTTCGCCGTTAAGCAGGGGAGATACGCGCCCACGCGGAGAAGCGCGCATTTATAACGGATTACTTGTAATGTCGTTTGCTACTCGCGAGTGGTAACGATCGACTTTTGTCAGCCTCCGCGTATGCGTATCCTCCGAGCTGCCTCCGAGAGATCAGTCTCGGGCCGAGGCGAAATGGCAAAATGGTTTTCGAATAGCGCCGAGAGTGGGACGACGGGGAGGGGGGAGGGAGGGAGGGGTTGGGTCGATAAAATATCGAGGTACTCACGAGATAGTAGTCGCGGGAGTAGTCGTCGCAAAGGGAAATCAGATAATTATGCCGCTTCGTAATATCGCGCGAGTCGAGTCGGATTGGTCCGGGAGTTCCGGATGTTCTCGATAGACCGCCGCCAACTTTGCTCCTCACTTTTTACATCCACTGCGAGAGCCGGGCTCGGCTGGAAACGTTTAATTGGCGATTCAATTACCGGACGGCGAATTGATGGGAGAGCCGCGCTAGCGTCGGTCACCGGCGATGCGAGTCTCGCAGCCGGCCGACCGGCCAAGATTAATGTTTGTTCCGATCGATCGCGTCGCGCGATAACTCGCCGAGGGATCGATATTCGAAATTCAACCGCGCGTAGAAGCTCGTCGTAGAGGCTCGATCGAAAGACATATGTAGGTCGTTGCAAGAAGGGACGACCGGTGCGTACGGTGGGGGCCATACATGGCGCGTGTATGTCGCTTGGTTCCGACTTGGTAGTGAAGGTAAATGAACGATCTAGCGACGCCGAGAATCGATAACTGACCCGCCAACGGCCACATGTACCGTAACGCGCGAGCGGCTCGCTCGATGCGACACATCGGGGTCGCGGTCGCCTTGCGAATACGGCTTGACGCATCAAACGATCAAATACAGACGCGATGCGAAGGGTGATTCTTCATCGGACACGGTCATCGGTGACGGCTCTCCGGCCGGGAAACGTTTCGGAGTATCAGAGGGATCCCATAAGTGAGCCCATAAGTAATTAGGTACTTACTACAGGACTCTGGTACTTGTTTCTTACTTGTCGTTGATTAAAGAATAAAATCCCTTGTCCGTTTGAGACCTTTACGCGTGTGTCTCACGCTCGATTACACTCACGAGCACCCCTGATATTTTTACGCTTTCAGTGTTTTGACGTTTCAGTTTTAGCGAGCGGCGAGCGCGAGTATGAGAAAAGAATGTGTCCTTGGCCTCTTCCTACTTGCGAATCGCGTTTCATATTCTCCGTATCTGAATACCAAATGTTCGCGCATTGGTATTGGTAAAAAAGATCGGCTTTTTTCCTCTCAGATTTGTATTCGTCGTCGTATATATCTCTCGCGGGGCGGCGGACGACAGCCGCCCCGCGACGCTTCCTTACGAACATTCCGAGGCAGATATTCGTCGCATTTTATTAACGGAACACCCCGCAGCGTTCAGTGGCGACAGTACACGGAAAAAAGTGCCGCGGAACTTCTTATTCATCGCCGTGCCTTATTGCTTATTTAAGCGGTGTACGGTGCCGTGAAATCCGCCGGGATTTCCCCCTCGTTCGCGTTCGCGCTCGCGCTCGCGCTCGCGCTCGCGTTTACCGCGGCCAAGGACGGACGCGGCGGGGAGGGATGATATCGCGAAAGTAGAAACGCAGGGTCGTCTTACACGGGGAAGGGAAGGACGATGACGACGGACGCCGCATTATCCGCATATCTGCGTCGAGAGGAGTTCGCGGTGAACCGCGATGCACTCTCGGCGGCTTGCTGCACGCGCGTGCAAGGCTCACCACCTTGCAATTCGCGGAACTCGATCAGTGATTCGGAACATCCCTGTCCCGCTGCGTATCGACTCGCGTTATCGCAGCGACCTTAATGTACAACGGCAACGGCAAGGCTCTGGTGGTGGTCTCCCTTTGTTACGACCGGTGTAAAAATAAATATCTAGATGCGACGTTACGCGCGCGCGACACCTCTCTCCATCTCTCTTTCTCTGTCTGCTTCGACGCGCATATCGCTATTGTGTGTGCATATGACGCGCTCCGATGGTCGTTTTATGGCCGACGTGAGAATCTCGCGGAGAGCTGAGCTCTCCGCGATGAGAGCTGAGCTGAGTAAGCTGGTATAGAAGCGGGGTGGTTTGAAATATCGGGGATGTACCCGTGAGTAATTAAGTATTTATAAGATTCTCTCATTCCTGTCGGTGCTGTCCTTCTGCTGTGCTATTTTGTCGGTCGGTCGGATGCTCAAATGATGTCGTTGATCAAGAGACGAAAAAACATTGTAAGCTGGCGAACTTCTAAATATCCATTCTCGAACTTCCATTCTCGAAACGCTTGATTATTCAAGAGTAACCCTAAAAATAGTAATTATGAATTGGTTATGAAATTCATACACATAATAATCTTAACGTTATGTCGCGCATATCGCGCATATCGCGCATATCGCGCGGTAAATCCATTTCATACTACACATTTTGTTATTTCACATTATAAATTTATTATAAATCCCCATTTAATTACCATGTTATAAATTATACACATGTAGGATAGCTACAAAGTCGTACGTTATACCATCAGACCGGATCATCGAATATCATTAATCGCATTGAAATTCGATGTATCGGATTCGCGAAGAACTCTCCGCGAACTTCGTTAAAGTCGTAAACAAGGGGCGCAGGATGGTGTAGCGATCGGATCGACTCAACTCACGGGCGGTTACTGGGAGTAAAGTTGGACATTTCGGAGCTTCTTTTTGCTACTTGACTATCAAGTCAAGTATGAGCGAAATGATCTACGGGCGCGACTCGACGACCGGCGATATCGGCGATAGAGCCCCCTCCGCACCCTCGTCCGGCACGCACCGGCCGCGGCGCGTCGTCTGGGACTACGGGGTGGTTGTCTGGGACGCTTGCGTCGCGCTCGCGTCGCCTCCCCGTGTACGCCGGCGTTGCTCCGGGCAACCGATGGGGATGAATCTACGCGACGCCCGGCGTCGAGTTTCCTCGTAGCGGGCGGGGCTGTTACACTCTCAGTGCGCTCCACGACGCCGAACTGACCACGTACAACGTGTGACGTCTCGACCCCACGACCTTCCTCTCCTTCTCTCTCTTTCTTCCAAGACGACGACGACGGCAACAGGGACGAGGACGAGGACGAGGACGAAAACGACGGCGACAGGATCTCGGCGTCGTCGAACACGATCGCGCGAGTTGGGCCCGACACGGTGCTCGCGAGCGTTCGGGGATCGTGAGGACTCTCGTCGCGAGTTAACAAGTGCTGGGAATGATAAGGGAGCGTGATAGAGAAGGGAGAGAATTGGCGACAGTGCTTATATCGGGGTGAAGCGGGATCGAAGAGGTAACGGGATCGGTTGTTAATTGGCGAATGAGAGCGGCGGCGTTCACGAGAGAGACACCTTCTGCAAGGTGACGAAGATTAAAGAGGGTGGGAAGATGCGCGAGGATCGAGGATATAAGTCGGCGATAGAAATTGATGGCTTGTCACGTGATGTTCGAGCGTGAAAGTTAGTTCGGATCGTTACGATTGCGCTCGTCGTAATCGTCGCGGATGTGGAGGTTATCGGACAGATTGTCGCGTGTATTCTCGCGACATGTTGGCAATATTCCCGGATATTCATGGATAATTTGGCGAAATTGCGTGTCAAGCTCTCGGAAGAGTGGATTGATATCTCGAACTGAAGAGTTACCTTTGATTCAAAGAACGTGAATTTACGTCAACTGTATTGTAACACATAACGTGAAAAATGCCTAGGTAATTTTCAAATCTCTTCAATTAAATTAGTGTGTACGACTTGATTAGTCGTCTCGAAAAGTGCGGTTGATCGTGAATATCGTAAACTGCCGCCACACGAAACTGCCGAAATCGCGACATCGAAAATAAGAAAAGATCAACAAGTCGGAGATAACGATTCGGTCATTGACCGAAAACAATTGTCATGGCAGGATTACTGCACACGGACGATAAACGCTAATTACAACGCGGAATAGTTCACTGCTCGTCGATGATGCGAACCCTGTTAGACCTGTTAAGGAACCACCGCCAAAGACTATGCGGTTCTCCGAGGACCGAAGTTAGTAACGTAACGACATGATGAAAGTTCATGATTGACCGGCAATGTTTAGAGGAAATTAATTGCGAGTTAGGAACTACAAGTTGTACAGCTACAAGTACAGAGATTAATATTTTATGAATCGCAACGGTCAATCCGATGAAAAATTCAGAGGAAAAGTTCGATCGTGGCAATTGAATTAAATACTCATCGTGGTAATTTTTACGTAATTATCTATCGCGTTGGAGTTACAACATTCGAACTTTAAGGATTGATTCGCTTGGGATAGAGAAGGAGATTTTTCTCCGGCAGATAATTTGACGGATGATACTTTTTCAATTGGATAATTTGGGCTGCTGCTTCTTTGTACTGTTGAATATCCGGTATGAAATAACCGGTAGAGTTAAATCGATTTACGACAAGTTTTCGATACAACTATCGTGCGAGGGAAAATTCGTCTAAGACGCGGCTTTATCCTTACCACTTGTCGCTCTAACAGTAATCACCGTTGAATGCTATCGAAGTCCAACGTAAACTAATTAGATACACCCTTCGAGGGTGGAAGTTATCTCATTAATGATGCACCACAAAGTTTACGATCCAATTCCATTTGTGATCCCGCGTGATCGTCGTTATAACGGAGACCATTAATTAAAGAGTGATACTACGCTGATCTCTGTTATACATTAAAGTAAAGTATTCTGCACACACAGTTGGAGACTTTACTTTCCCGAAACATTTGATTGATATTTTTAAACATCATACAAATTTGATTGACTACGACGAAAATTATCATCGACGAGTTTTGTAGTTGCTCCTACGAAAGAAATATTTAGAAGCTATTAAATTTTTACCGCGACACAAGCCACCAATTTCTTCGAGATTTTCCAAAAAAAGTACCAAGTTTCCCAGTCTGTGACTGGGAACGTTCAATTTATATTGTTACGCACGATTAATTAGACGACTTATTTCTTAGATCGATATCTATAATCTGAGATATATCGAGGTGTCTGTAATATATCTCGATCGGCCACATCGGAGGAATAATTGCAAATTAATAAGCGATCGTGAGCGCTCGTGATTAAAATTCCTGTGAAAAGTGATCGTCGCGCGTGTTCCTTTCATTGTCGTTCTCAAGAGGAGGAGATACTTGGATCGAGCATCGACAACTTCGATTGTAAGTTTGAATGATTGAATTTATATTACTATCCACCACGGTTGTGTGTTGCGGACTTTTCGGCAATAACAAATCCAAGTTCCTCGAGAGAAGAATTGTTTCCCAATCTATCCAATTTTCTTCGCCTTATGAAACATCCAGTCGCCTTTATTGCGAACGTATCCGTGGAAGGTGTCTTTAATGGTATTAAGTCGTTCTCCGCAGCGGTTTACGGAAGTTCCCGCGTTTATAAAGTCCATGAGAGAGAGAGAGAGAGAGAGAGGAAGGGGGAGAGAAGAAGGAGGGAGGGAGATAGACAATTTGCCGGCGAGCACATTTTTCGCCTTTAATGAACCTCTGTATTTCACCCCTCCGCAGCAAAGTTAATAGGGTGAGATCAGGATTATGTATTGTGATTGTTACAAACGACGTACGCGTAGTACGATCGTTAACCAAGCAACTTCGTGATTTAAGCGGTCAGGCCGGCAGCAAGGATATTAAAAGGGATAACGATAAAACGGCGCTAAATGCACGACCGAAGGTACAGACGCCGCACTCCGTTAAAACATTTCGCGATTCTACGAGCTTGCGAATTTTGGTTCCTCGCGTGCGAGACACATTCGACCTGAAAATCGCAATACATGCATAAACGCATCGTCGGGCGCAAGTAGACGTGGGGGATGGATGCGCATACGGGGTTAGATCCACGCGAGAGTCGCGCGATTGTACAGTCGAGGTACTGGCCGGAAGGTTAGGGACAAAATTCGATTGAAAGGACCAAGTAACGAGTTAATTGCGCGCGATTAACCGCGCGGTAAACTGTCTCGTGGCGGCACCCGAGAGCCGGAGCATTGGAAACCGCGCTGAAAGCGTGTTGTACGTGTGCGTTGTTTGCTTACCGGACGCTCCTCCTTCCGGCCATTCAACGTCGTCTGATCGGTGACTGCCGAATTCAGCGTGATTTTACTTTCCTCCCTGCTCATCTCATCTCGTCGCGCTCGCGTTGCGCCACCACGCGTTTCCGCGTGGCGACTTTCGTCAAGCGATATTAGCGGATTAAAGCGGGGTTTGTCTTGGGAGATTGCTCGGAGATCCAGGACACGATTCAACGTAGTGTTTCACGCGGACAAAGTGCGGCATCTGGTGCACCCGAGTAAAAGCGCACGAACGATGATGCGCGAGACGAGAAATCGACGCGTGAAAAAATCGCAGAGCATCGGCGATGCGCGCGCGACTTGTAATTTTTTCTAAAGCCGACGTGTAAAAATATGATTACCTGCTTCCATGCTTCCTATGTAATTATCGTGCCGGTTTAAGAAGCGACAAGGGAGAAGAGAGCAGGGGGGCTTGTGTAGTCCGCCCCGTATCGAAATTTGCATTCTGAAAGGAAACAGCGCACGTCCCTCGGAATTTCCATTTTGACATCGACTCAACGCGGGTTCTGCACGTCGTACTTGAAATTATTCCGATTATTCCGATCTCAATCGAGACCGGGGAGATTTCTTAGCCTATACACGCCTTGACGTGGCGTCGCGACGGCGAGGGCGACGGCGACGCCGATCGAGAATACAGAACAGGGTCGATTTAAGATGTTGAGCGCGAAGGGGAGAGGCGGAGAGATAATCGCTTCGAAGCTTCCGCAAAATAGGGGCATCCATAAAATTAAATGATCCGTTTTCGCGTCGCACATTTAGCCGTGACAATTTAAACGTGACGCTATTCAAAATTACCCCCGACCATCCTGGGCAAAATATTAACCGCGCAAATAACTGATTTGTCTGCCAGGGTACGGTAAAGGACAAAATAGAATTTGAATAAAAAATACATCATCTCTCTCTCTCTCTCTCTCTCTCTCTCTCTCTCTCTCGGGGGGATAAATTTACGTAGAAAATTAGAATATAAGATTATTCAGGAAAAATGAAGCGCGTGAACACGTCTGTTTTGCCTCTTCTGAAAACCAAGTGTACACTAGGAAAAAAATTTAGCATCTCTAACAAAACTGTTTAGTTGAGGCATTTCTTAAAAGCAACCAAATATCTTATTTTATATAACAATAAATATTTAGTTGTTTCAACTAAATATATTTTTCTGCTTTGTTCTCTGGACCAAATGATTTTGTTGTTAGACTTCATATATAAAAATTAAGCATTCTAGTTATTTTATCCGTAAAAATTACATAATAACGAAATATTATTTTACGTAAACTAAAATAATGCCCAATGGATACTATTTTGTCTTTCTGTGCACTAAAATTTAGATTTTATATATTAAGAAAAAATTATAGTATTTTTGACAAAATTCATATAGTTAAAGCCTTTTGGTTGCTATAACAAAAATATTACGTTATACGAACAAACTATAATCAAACAAGATATTTGTTTACAGGAACTAAACAGTTTTTTTGTTGGGCATATTTTAACCAAATTATTTCGTTGTTGCAACAAAATTATGGTTCACGCAACAATACATTTTTCCTAGTGTAGCAGCGAATGTAGTAACGCTCCATTTTATTCGCTGGTCGGTTCTTTCATCAACATCAAGAAATATCTATTATCTTTGATCGACTATTTTTCACAGCAATGCACGCTTCTGCATTGTTAACCAGTCCTTTTAAAATTCTTCTTTAATCTGCCAACGACGTTTTGTCCAACAAAACGTGAATCCTCTGACGCACTCAACAGCGCGTTCAGAGTGACAAAGGAACGGAATATATAGAATCCAATCGTCATATTAGATGCGCATAGCGTATACAGCGCGAAGATATCGCACTGGACACGATACGTGGCGCGTATACGTGTCAAGCCCTCGAGGGGATTTACTATCGGCAGGCCTCAGTTGTCACTTCGGGGACAAGCGCGTAGTTGCGCCGTCGTAATCATAAATTCCGGGGCGTGCTCCATGAAGCGAACGAATGCAGCTTTTCTCGGATAAACGACAGACGCACGCGCGCGCGTTGTTCATCGCAGGCGACAAAATCGCAATTTCCGCGTTCCTGTCCCTGGGCGTACGTGTGCGTGCGTGCATGCGTGTGTACTTACTTACTTGCACGCGTGAGCGCCGGCCGAGACACACACACACACACACACACACACACACTATATAGACTATATCTCTCAGGGTGCAGACGCGATGGCCCGTGAGCTGCAGATAAGAGGCGAGGCGCAAAACTTTGGCTGGCGAGAGATATACAGGGGATGCTTTTTTCACTGTCGGGGGACAACAGAATAGATACGTTGGGTGGGCGAGGGAGCGCGGGCGAAAGAATGGCGGACGGGCGACGACGTAACGGCATCGGAGATCGTAAGAAAGCCGAAAAATGCGACGCGCGCTGAATGCAAAAGCGAACGCCGCGGAAGAGCGATGTGAATGGGGGAACCGGTTTATTTATACGGCAGGAAACGCTGCGAGAAAGAGAGAGAGAGAGAGAGAGGGGGGGGGAGAGGGACGCGCGCGCGCGAGCGGTGTATAATGACTATTAAAAGTTGCGGACGCGCGTCGTTATCGGCGAATCGGCTGTTTTGCGGAATTATCGAGCGAACGCGGCGCTGGGAAAAATAGATACGATGCAAATTCGATGTAGCGTGACGACGATAAAGCCCGAGCCGCTCGGGCTCTCTCTTATCGTCGTTATAACGGCTCATTATTATTGTCGATTTAACGATACATACAATTCGGCCGGTGTCGACGCGCGATGCGCGTGATGTCGCTCGTACAATGCAGCTGCATTTATGTACTTTGCGTAAGTCATGTCACTCGGTGCATTTATGTTACTTGGCGCGCAAGTTCACCGTGTTACTCGAGCATGACGCTTTTACCGGATCTAGTGAACTAACAATTATTATGCACTCCCCCATTAATCACGGTGCTCGTTAGACCAAATTAATGACTCTTACGAGATAGCACAATCTAAATTGATGAAGACTCGCGACATGTTGCAGTATGCTCAAAGCTCCGTACGAAAACGAAGATAAATTGTAGCATTTAACATTAGCGTCATCTTCGATCGCTGCGGGCCGTGCGACAGCGACCGTCCCTCCCTCTCTGTGACGGGGTAATTTCAGCCGAGTCACACGGCGGTCGCATGTTGACAATTAACAAACAAGCTCGGAGCTTGGATATACAAAGTCGGGAGCATGTTTTGACCTCTCTGTTTTACCACCGTCGTGCGCAATCTCTTAATTTTTAATTATCTTTAATTATCTTTAATTATATCTTGACAAAACATTACTCTGCAAACATTACTGTTGCTTGCGATAACGTGCTGGTGTAAATAGGAGAGAACACTGTCACAGAGAGAGAGAGAGAGAGAGAGAGAGACGCCCTTCTGATACATATATATTAACTACAAAACGTGCTTGTCAGGCGCATTGCGCCCGACAAGCATGGAAGGTTAACGGATACAAATAACAGGCGCGGACACGAGGCTCGTTCGCGTAAATTCGCGCAATCGACAGGTCCGATCGCGAGGATGTGTTTTGCTCGATAATCGCAACCGATTTCGTCGGGTAATCTTGCAGGGAGGAGTGTTCCCTCCCGACAGCGAAGATTCGCCTTCCCGGCCATTCGTAACGATTAGGGTCGTCGCTGGACGTTTGCAATCGACGGTAAACTCGGCCGCGGATTTAACTTCATACGTGCGCACACACTTACACGTAGTATGAGCGGCCAAAGCGCGACAAAAGCGCCGCTGGCTTTTGAAATTAGATCATCGAGCCGTGAGGTGAAAGAGGGAGAGAGGGAGAGAGGGAAAGAGGGACGCACAGAGAAAGGGAGAGAGAGAGAGAGAGAGAGAGAGAGAGAGACAGAGAGAGATAGAACGGAGGCGAGATTCCGAATCTTCGAATCGGCTTAACGTCGAATCCTTGAATAAGCCGGTGCTCTCTCCGAAGGTCCGTTAAACCGGCCGTTTAGTCTGTACACGGGCTCTGGGCGAGTAGTACATTTGTTAAAGCGCGCTACGTCGTACGTACGTACTTTGCGGATTACAACGTACTTTTTGGACCGGCAGCGGCGGCGACGTT